TCTCCACCCCCCTTGTCGTCGTCGCACCCAAGTCAAGTCCAGCCCAGACCAGGCTGCCCAGCCAGCGAATTCATCTCCTATGTATTGATCCCGTTACAACTCATTATCTTCAGCAAACGCCACCCGCATCTGTCGCGGCGCCTGGCATCGTCGACATCATGGCTCTCCCGAAGCCAGAAGTTGGCGATACCCTCTTGGTCATACGTAAGTTCATTCCACTCATCCGCTAACAACGCCTGAGCCCACCCGCCCGCCTTGTCCCGCTCCTCGTCACTCGTATTCGCTCGCGTCATGCAGCATCTTCGTCTCCCCGCCCTTGACAGTACTGGACCGGATCTCTCCGCTGTGGAATTCCATCTGACTTCTTTCTCTTCTTGCAGATGACTTCATTGCTCGCAGCTCTGACGAATTGAGCCTAACCAAGGGCGATCGAGTTGAGTTAATAGAACGAGATGACGAGTTTGGAGATGGATGGTTTCTGGGCAAGCACCTCGTGAACGGAAACAGCGGCCTGTTTCCCGAAGGTTCGTCTACATGGTACCCAACCTATGCAAACAATAAGAAGCTCATCATCCATGGTCCAGTCTACACCAGGCCAGCTCCGAAGACGGCACCCGCGAACAACTTCTCGAAACCGCTAGCAACACTGCCCGAGGTGGTGAACGAACCCAAACAAACAAACCCTCCCGACCCGACCGACGACAAGATTACCACCCCCGCCGCTCCACCCACTCCCACGCCACCACCCGAGTCTCCGGCTCCTGTTACTCTACCTCTCAACAACATTAAGCAGGAAACTCCTGCAATCGAGAATGCGCCGCCAGCCGTGAGTGCGCCGCCCTCGGCCGCCCTCGGCCGTATCAACACGAACCAGGATCATGTACTCAGCGAAACTCTCAACGTTATTGACGAGCATATCACCGATTTGCGTTCTACACCTAGCAATGGCGCAATGCGTGCCCCTCCTACCGACTCTGGGAGCGAATACAGTGCTCAGCTCGATCATCGAATGTCCTACATTCATGGTGAAGAAACGGACGAGGAAGAGGAGGGCATGCACAGTCGATCCGAGGTGGAGGCATGGACACCGGATCAAGTTGCTGAGTATCTGTTCACAGTCGGCGTCGAGAAATCGCACTGCGAAGTATTCCGCGACCAAGAGATTACCGGCGAAGTCCTGCTGGGTATGGACCAGAGTTCACTCTTCATCAAGGCATTTGAATTGGGTTCTGTCGGTAGGAGACTTAAGACATGGCAGAAGATCAAGTCTCTGCAAGACGAGTGTAACAACCTAGGTATTGCAACGAGAAGAACGACGCAGACATACGGCAGTGACGTGGGCTCGGAAGATGCGAAGCGGTCTAGAAGCCGGGCCGACACCTTGACCAGCTCAATGCCCAGGATGACACCGGTTGACGACAGAGCCATGTCGTTCTCAAGCAAGCGCCTGTCCTTTTCGCAAACGCCCAAGTTGGATACATCATCACTTGTGTCGCCAGTCTCCCCGATTGTCGACAGTCCCACCCGTCCATCTCACATGAAACGACCTTCGGCTGCGTCTGTCAGAGATTTGCACCACTCTCGCAGACACTCGTCGTCCACTGACTTCCGTTTGACGGGACAGCCTATGGCCAGCACCGTCACACCAAAATTGGCCACGAGTGGAACGTTTCCCCAGACTGATGGCGCTCATAAGAAGCAACCGTCATTCGACAGAAACTGGACCCTTGGCAGCGCCTCAAGCCGACCACTTTCTTCTACCGGGCTTCAAGACGTCATGCAACAGTCTGGTCTACACGCTCCTGAGTCCGCCATCGATACCGACCGTGGTTACTTTAGCGGCACTGAAGTCGACGGTCGACGCCGCAACGTGCTTAGGAAGCGCGATAGTACCGCCAGCCACGGCCGAAAGAACAGTTACGCTGAGGAGCAACGGGTGCGCAGTGCTACCGCCATTTCGAGGCACTCGAGATTCGGAAGCGTCGACTCGAACCGCGACAGCGTGGCCTCCCCTGCTGCGCAAAAATATTACGGCATGCAATCCACAGCCCACAGAAGAACTGCCTCAACAAGTACCACTCAGTCTGCGCGGCCCATACCTCCCGTCAAGGACGTCGGAGCACCCAGTGTCACAAAACTCGAAGCCAAGACTCGTGCCTCTCCGGTGCCCGAGTCTCCTGCGGCCCGCCAGGGAATTCACGCTGAGTGGCTTTCCGCTGTTGTGAAGCCCTCGATGAAGGTGGCTGGCTTGCGTGCAATTTCGGATTCAGTCTCGAGTGATCGCAACAAGATGGCTTCGCCAATTGACCCATCCCTGAAGGACTCGCCTTTGCCCTCGCCCGCTAGAACCGGATCGAGTACCCCCTCTGCCGGGCCCAGCTTCGAGCTCGATTCACCCGATACCGCAAAGAGCCCCAGCACTGCCACCACCGTGGCGAGCAAGGGCAGCAGGAAGAAGGGCAAGAAGGAGACGAGTGCCTATCAACGGGGACTTCTAAAGATCAGCCCCGCTGAAGCTGTCAAAGACGCTGACTACAGCGGATGGATGAGAAAGAAGAGCTCCAACCTCATGACGACATGGAAGCCCCGACTGTTTGTGCTCAAAGGACGCCGACTTTCATACTACTACTCGGAGAATGACGATCAAGAAAAGGGACTCATCGATATTTCCTTCCACCGCGTTCTTCCAGCCGACAATGAACAGCTAACCGGACTTCACGCCAAGCTTACCGGCGCAGGTGCTGTCACTGGACACGACACCACCACCTCAGGAGAAAAGGGAGATGATACAATGTTCATCTTTAAGCTCGTTCCACCACGCGCAGGCCTGTCCCGCGCCGTGAACTTCACCAAACCGACTGTTCACTACTTTGCAGTCCCCAATCTCAAGTCAGGAAGACTATGGATGGCAGCACTCATGAAGGCAACAATTGACCGAGATGATACCCAGGCGATAACAACGACGTATCAACAAAAGACCATTTCCCTTGCCAAGGCAAGACAGCAGCGACACCGCCCTCCTGCGTTGATGAACCTTGAAGAAGCTCAAGAAGATGAGAGACGACGAGCACTCGAGGCGAAGAAGAACGCAGACTCCCTCGGCATCACCTTTGGTGAGACCGACAGCGGGGTCTCCGGCATGGAGAAGCCAAACTTCCCCAAGGTGGAGAGTGCTGACCCTCGGAAGTTGGCTTTTGAATCGGAGAACAATGGCACGGCTGGAGCACCGCCACAGAGTGCTTAGAGGTGGAACCCTTTTGAGCGTGTTTGCGGCACTTAATCAGTTCCCCCTTTCCTTCCTTTCTTGTACGATGGGACCTTTCTATATATACCTTTGTCATGTATGAGGGACACGAATTCCGCATAGGGGCGGCGTATCTGGGATTGCTTGAGGAGAGCCAGAAGATCCAGCAAGGAAGGGCGATGGACCTGGACATACGAGCGAATAATTTTCACAAGAGTGATTCCCTTTGTTTCCTTTTTCACCTTTTTTACTCTCTTTCTTCCTTTAGCTGTCGAGTCGCCCTGTAGAGGGGGCATAGACTCTGTTGGCAGCACAGCAACCGATGCTGTACATACACAGGAGAAGAAGGAGGTCCTATAACGCGCACTAGAGGCTACGTTGATGAATGGAGTCGGCACAATGGCCTTTGCTCCCCGACAGGGGCTGATATGCCATGGATAGGGGATGATACCTAATCAAAACAATTTTCTGAATTTCTGATGCTCCCATGTTTGTGTATACGTGTCTAGGGGATGTTTGTCTGACAATATCAGTGGAAGAGAGCGATTTGTCGCCGCAGGCTGCTTGCACTGAAGTTGGAATTAGTTGAGTTGGAACCGGTTTGGTATCTCGAGACTGTTGGAACAGTAAGGACGGGCGGGTGGATATAAGGAACCCCAAGCAGAGAGGAAGGGGGCAAGGGAGCAGGGCGGGGAATTCTGAGGTCGAAGGTCTTTGAGTATTGGTAGCCTGACGTGCGGAGAAGGGAGGCTCCATCGAATCTGCCGCAAGTCAACACAGTTGTACTTCGTACTTGTAGGTTCATTGCCAGTCAGTCACATGTCACGCGAGGAAGGAAATGAGCTACGGCCCCCAGTGTCTCGATCCAAATTTGGTCGATTCTTTTGACTATCTACTGTGTTTGGCTAGGCTGAAACCTCTGATTCAAGAGGGATCCATCAAGAATAAAGTGGTCGCGAGAACATCTTTCCCTTTTCCCACCATGTTCCCATCCATCCTGTCCGATTCCTTCTTTCCTCCAACTAATCTCGCCACGCCATGTGCCCTGAGCTCGAATCTAGGGTATTCTCAAACATGCTAAAAGACGGTTGCGAGATGCGACTGCCAATTGAGCAAAAAAAGGGTTCGACTATGAGGGGTTCTCTTTTTCTCAGGGAAGGGAATGGGATGGATATCTCTCAGAGTCGTAATTCGAACAAGAACGAGTGAAAGTTGTAAAAACTTGGAAAGAGTCGAGAGCCAGCCAAATTCTTCTGCGAAGAAGCAAGAGAAAATGTTGCCTCTCTTGATCTCCTTTTTTCCAAATATTACCTCCTCACTCGAGAGGGAAAGTGGTAAATCGAAGGAGCGACTATCCAGTCCCTGTAATCCAACACCACGTCATTTTTTTCTGGGGTTTGCTTGATTTTGTAAGTTTTTTATTTATTTATTTTTTAGTGCGTGTGTACCGAAGCCATTTCGCGACGATGAATCCAGGCGGGTTGATTTCATGAACAGTTCCATAGGGAGGGAATACCGAGAGGTAGCATGCCAAGTTCCCGTTTGACGACGATGCTTCCATGTTGGGTACTCTGAGCAAATTGCCTTTTCCGCTTTTATGTTGTTTTCTCGGTTTTTCGTCGTAGTCGCAGACAGAACAAGCAGTCGCATTCCCTAAAGCAGCAAGAAAAGACGTCTCGGACCGTTTCGTAAATCGTTCATTCGTGCGTCCCTTCGTCTTCGTTCGTATCGTCATGTTTCATTATCATTATTTCATTCAGAACCAGTCAGCGTCATAGCCAGGAGCAGGGCTGTCAGGAGCAGGGCTGTCAGGAGCAGTCGCGGGGGGCGCAGTAGCAGCACGACGGAAGCGACGAGGAGTGCGGAGGCTCTGAGCGGTAGCAGGAGCCTGCGCCTGAGTATAAGCCTGAGCAAGAGCAAAAGCGTCGCTGTAGCCGCCGTGAATGCTGGAGGTGCTGCTACCTCCGCCAATGCTGCCAGCCGGAGTGACCTGGCCAGGAACAGACGGAGCAGGGCGGGAGGGGCAAGGGGGAGCGACGGTGCCGGGCTCGGGGCCGGGAGGGTTGGGGTAGCCGGCGGGAGGAGCAGGGTAGTCCGCCTCGGTCATGCCGTAGTGCTCGAGAACCTCACGGCGCTGTCCGCGGGTGAGAGGGACGGGGTCCATGTCGTCGGGGAGGTTGTTGTAGCCCGTCTGCTTGAAGGCGTAGCCGTGGGAGAGAGCCTCCTCGTGGTAGTTGGGATCGTTCCAGGGCTCATACTTGTCCTGGTTCTCCTTCTCATTCTGGTTCTTCTGGCTAGTAGAGGCGGTGGAGTTGTAGCTCGAGGCGTAGCTGGAGCCCGCGGCGGCAGGGCCAGAGGTGGTGTAACGGTTGTCGTTTTCCTCCGCGAGGAAGTCATCCAGATCTGCTATCTGCTGGGACGTGGTTGCGGGAACAACAGAGGTCGCGGGCGTGGGCGGGAGGGCCGTGGCGCCGGCGAGGCGGACAGCAGGATGCTGCTGGAACGGGTTGACGGTCACGGTCTGACGAGTGATGTTGTCAGAGGCAGCGGGCGCTGGGGTAGTCGGGGCACGGCCGGAGGATGAGGACGCAGAGGGGACGCCGTTAAGAATGGCAAGAGCCGTCTCCAGGTCGCACGCCTTCTTCTCGGGAGACTGCTGGACGAAACGGTTGAACTCGTCCTGGATGACGGTCTTGTACTCCTCTACCGTGAAGCCTCGGCGGCCGCCAGTCTCTTCGTCGACCGGAGGCTTTGGGAGCGGAGCCATCTTGCGAGTGAAGTCGGTAAGGCAATTGATGTTGTTCAAAAGGGTCGTAGGGGAGCTACTGCCGCCAGACGTGGTGGTCTGAGTCTGAGCTGGAGTCTTGTCCGACTTCTTCTTCTTCTTGATAGCCTCGTCGTCATCACTGTCGACGAAGTCGTACTTGCTGTTTTTGGCTCTCTTGGGCCAGCTGAAGTTCCGAGTGCCACCGCTACTTCTCGGACCGCCGCTCTGAGTGGAAGAGCCGCTGGTGGTTCTGTTCAGAAACGGGTTGTTGCCGTTGTAGGCCTGGGTAAGGGAGGTGGACTCTCCAGCAACCATGCGGTACCTGCTGGAGTTTGACGAGCGCGGAGTATCGGAGACAGTGGGCGTATTGCTCTGAGCCTGCGAGACATCCTTGGTGCTGGTCTTTTTGTTGTCGACCGTAGGCTGCTTGGCGCGAGAAGGGATGCGAAGGGGAGCGGGCTTCATGGTGTGAGACGCAATCGAGCGGTCGGCGTAGGCCTCCTCGTCGAAGGCGGCAAGAGCCTGCTTGTTCTTGCCCTTTCTGATACCGGGGACGATGTCCTCCTTCTTGATATCAGTCGAGAAAGTGTCGCGAATCGGCTTGGTATTCTCGAGGTGAACAATCTCACCACGGGCGTGAGCGGCGTTCACGCGCTCATATGCACGACGGTTGATCTCGTCTCGCTCCTGCTGGGCAGCGGAGACCTTGGCGGCCTTGACGTCGTCGGTATCGGAAAGCTCATCGTCGGAGACGTGGAGTGAGGTTCGCGCGTTGCTCTAGAACGCATCAACCTCCTTCGGGCTTCTCTGGATGAAGGTGTAAGACTCATCGCTCTCCATGGTTTTCTGAGAGCGCTTATCCGTGGCAGTCGGCTTGCCGGCGATGGTCTTTCCTCCGGACTGGGCGGAGGAAGGGGGAGGGGCAGGCCCGTAGACAGGCTTATCGGTAGCTTGAGCTTGAGTTTGAGCTTGAGCTTCGTCGAAGGCCTTGAGATAAGCCTGGGCCTTTGCCTGGTACTCCGGCGTGAGATACTTGTTCAAGTGGAACGGGTCGCCATTTGACGAGCCAGTGCTCGATGCATCATCGTCGGAAGAAGAATCATCGGTATACGCCTCCTTCGTCTGGCTTTTGCTCTCCGCGGCTTGACCATAGGCGATGGTCGTCTGGGTCTCGTGGGCCACACGATGAGAAGGAGCTGCAAGAAGCGAGTCGTCGTCAGAGTGGGCGTCGTCGGTGTACTCGCTACCAGAGTCGGCAGGATCGAGAAGGTCTGCAGGCTTCTTGGCAGCACCAAGAGCGCGCCAGTAATCGATCTTTGCGTAGATCTCTGGATACTTCTCGCGAAGCGAAGCCTCCTTGGTGGTGTGCTCCTCGAGAGTCGGCGAAGGGACAGCCTGAGGGGCAGTAGCGACGGGGACCTCACCCTTGCGAGCCTTTTGGGCTTTCTTGTCGGCCTTCTTCTGGGCCTTTTGCTCGGCTCTGCGCTCGGCACGGGTGGTTCTCTTGGCCTCTTCGTTCAGAGCGCCCTGCTTGGATGACTCTCCGAAAATTTCGTCGAGACGAGCGTTGGTGGCAGCGAAAGCAGCTTCCTGGGCGAGACGCTCTTCCTTGGCGGACGGGTGGCGCTTCTCGAAGGCCTCGTTGAGCGAAGCCAACTTGTTCCACAGTTCAATCTTAGCAGCCTTCACCATGGAGACGCCCTCGTCTTCCTCAAGAGGAAGGACCTTGACCTTGGTGTGGATATGCTTTGGAGCAATATAGTTGTCGAGAGAGCGCGTGAGGGACTCGTCATTGAAGTAATCCTCCATTTTGAGAAGCTCCAGGTCAGTAATCTCTCGAGCGGATTTTTTCTTCTCGGTCTGAGAAGCATCGCCAGTCGCGACAGAAGCAACGGCGGTGTCAGTAGGCTCATCAAACGACGCCTTGCCCTTGCCCTTGTCAGCAACGGGCGACGAGGAGGGGGTGAGATCGAAATCTCCGCGGTCAGACATCCTGTCGGATTTCTCAGGTGTAGCGGTTGCTCCTTCGAATTTCGCGACCATTGTCTTGACCGAAGACGCGACGGATGTTTGACGATCGCGATTAATCGATGGAGAAGGTAAGTCAGGTAAAACGTCTCGTTTTCGATGGATGATGCTCTGGCTTTCGGGGAGGGGAGGAGGGGATGATGAGGTTTTTTGGTCGAACCCAGGAGCAAAATCGTCTTGACGAAAGAAGGAGGAAGCCTTGCGACCGAGATTGGCAGAAAAGCTGTCTGGAAATCGAGCCACTGGCCTCTTCCGGTCGAGGACGCTGGGTTCGAGGGGCCCTCTGGGCTTCTGAGGGACTGCCTCTCTCATTTCAAGCGGGTCAAAAGGATCCATCGTGAGATGAGCGGCAAGACCAGACGGTCAGGTCAGATGATTCGAGTCCGGACGGAGTGATATGCTTCAAAACTTCAGTCGAGAGAGAGGCGAAAGGCGAGATGGAAGCGAAATTTGACGTGAAGGGTTCGGAAGAATAAGCCGTTAAGCAGAACAATGAGGAAATCCTCGTCAACAAAAGGGAGCAGTACGAGGTAAAGAAGGTTCATGGGAGCCAAGCCGTATACCAAGCCCACAAGATGAAAACTCAGGGGCGGAGTGAAGATTACTTCCATGAAAGAGAAGTTGGTGAGTGATTGGGGATTCGAGATATGTGATACTTGTGTGATTGCCGAGAGTGATGGACTGTGATGAGAGAAGATGCGTGAACTTGGGCATAGTAGTCTTCCAAATATCGAGGGAAAGAGCACCTGTGCCTAGGTGGCAGGAAGCGAGAGATTGGATGCCACTCTGCCATTGTTGTCTTTGGTATATTCATCATCATATTCCAGATGATATTCTGGATGAACTCTGCCCCATCTTTCAGGCTGGATACCTGACTTGGTAAGAACACCTCCTTTATAGATGCAGTGAGCACTCTCAATACATGCCTTGTGGCCTCGAACCATTGAGAAGTATGTAACACGCGTAGAGGAGTACATCTGGAGTCCCGTGGAGGATATTTCAATTGTGTATGATAATGTTCTATACTCATAGAATTAAAGGTAGTAATCACTGTGACTGACCCTGGTCTCTATTGGAGAATGTTTCTCGTATCTTGATCCCGCAGCCTTCACTAGAAGCTGGGTGTCTTATTTTCCTCGTTATATGCTCGAAGTTGCTACCCCGCGTAGCCTACGCTGGAGATGATGATATGTAGGACTCACTACCACGAGCGTTCTAGAGATTGCTGATTAGCATCGAGGAAACAACACCGCAATAAATTAAGCTTGGAAATTCTATGGATTGGGACTTTACGGCCACTTGGCTAAAAGTGTTGTTTTTACCTTGCGCTGTCGAATAGACGATGTTCATGACTGTGAGAGATAAAGATAATCTCACAGACACCTTATTTCACACAGTGCAGGATACAATAGCCTCAGTCAGTCATCTCTCCAGAAAACACTGGCAATGAGTTTAATAGTCTTATAGCAGCATTTTGTGTCCTTATGATGAAGTAGTGGTTGGTGATCAACGCAAGTCTGGACGGGGATGTTGTCGGTTCCTGGTCGTCTATGGCGCACAGACCACCCGGCAGATCCACCTTCCCGGCCACGGCTTCCTCCGTGTCTTCTCAAGGTTCCACGTTGCTTGAAAGGCCCCCACATCAGTTAAGTGGTCAAGGGGAACACATCGCAGCTGCTCGTCATTTAGCATCAACCATCAACGACAACCTCCCTCCGAACGAACGAAACCGCCAAAATGGACCCTTACTCTGCCGAAGGCGAATTGATCAACATCCACAACTATTTCCACCAGGGCCAGTACCAGGAGGTCATTGATTACGATACCTCTGCCCTCTCCTCCGAGAATGAGCTTCCCGCCCGCGTCCTAGTCCTGCGAGCCCGCATCGCCCTTGGTCAAGCCGAAGATGTCATTTCCGACGTGCAGGGAGAGAAGGAGCCCGAGCTGGTTGCCCTTGGAGCGCTCGCCGAGAGCGCACTTGGCAAGACGGATTCTGCCGTGAAGACGATTGAAAAGCTCGCCGCATCCGAGGGGGAAAACGCTACAGTCCAGATTGTTGGAGGCACAGTCCTGCAGGCTGCGGGCAAGTCAGAGGAGGCTCTTGCCTTGCTTTCACAGCACCAGGGAAGCTGTACGTTTGACACCCATTAGTTGTTGGAGGGATTGTGCTAATCCTGGACTTGCAGTGGACGCTGTTGCCCTGATTGTTCAGATCCACCTCCAGCAGAACCGCAACGACCTCGCTCTCAAGGAGGTTACGGCCGCGAGACGATGGGCACAGGACAGTTTGTTGGTCAACTTGGCCGAGTCATGGGTCGGTCTGAGACAGGTACAATAACTACACCACGTATGAAAGAACGAGACTAAGAAAGTACAGGGCGGAGATAAGTATCAACAGGCTTTCTACGTGTTCGAGGAGCTTGCGCAGGCGCCGGCAACGTCGTCCATTGCAACTCTCGTCTCTCAGGCTGTTGCTGAGCTGCACCTTGGACGTACAGAGGAGGCACAGGCAGCGCTGGACCAGGCTCTGGCCAAGGACGCAGGCTATGCCGAAGCCATTGCTAACCTTCTGGTGTTGACGGCGATTTCGGGCCAAGATCCCAAGGAGTTCACGGAGTAAGTTCCGGTGCTCGGTCGTAGAGGCGTCGAGTCGACATGCTGACCACGTGGAAACAGAAAATTGAAGGCGGCGGACCCCCAGCACCATTTCCTTGTGGACCTGGAGGAGAAGAGCGCGCTATTCGACAAGGCGGCGACCAAGTACAGCCCCAAGGTGTCTGCATAAGGGAGACAGCGGGGCGGTGTGTACTGCTGATGAGGCATAATGTTAGGCGTACGGTTTAGAGGAACTCAAATGGAGATACAACGGCTCGGAAAAGCGCAACGAGACCACTCGAATTACTACTTCCCACTTGAAGAAACCCATCCGCTCGCCCTCGCTTGATCCGAAAATCGGTTCTTTCTTTGCCAGATGCGCGCGACCCGCCAGTGATCTGCAGGGCTCGAAGGGTCTATGGTTTCGCCGAGACCGTCTGGCCAGCTGTTCGTTTCGGGCATGCATGAACAAACCCCCGGGTCATGGTAGGACGGGACTGGACAGCCGGAACTGACAGGGCCGGTTGACCGAAGCAGCCCGAGGTGACAGATCGGTGGCTTTCGACATCGGCAGATTGACATCATGGCTTCCTATTCTTGATTAGCACCAAGCGCCAACTAGACGGCCGGGGCCCCCATGCGCCTGACTCAGGGCTTTCTCCCAACTCCCTCAAGTCAAAGAAGTAGGTCTATCACAGGCAGCAAATCCTGTTAGGGCTTACTGCCGGGATAGACCAATGGAACTTGCGCTTTGAACAATTTTGGCTGACGGAGCAGACTTTCCGGCAAGGATTGAGTTTGGGCAATGATGGACAGGGCCTCTGAAATACAAAAAAATGTTGCCACTATCTTTCGCATCGCACAGCATCGAATTTTGTCTCGCTTGTCTCGCCGGTTTAGCATGGTGGATCGAACCCGGACGCGGAGGGGTAAAGTGAGCACTCAGGGTCTTGCACGGACGCGCGGGGCTCAGAGAAAGTCGAGATTACAGATCGCGCGATGCATATGCCCAGTCACTACATCTCACTTCACCGTAGACACATGCAAAGAGCGCCTTCAACGTCATCGGTTGCTGTAGGTTGACGATATCAGCCGTGGCCTACCGGCAAAGGCCTGCTACCTTATGACGGCTTGGAAGGGGTTTGGCGCCATGAAAGTTGTCGATAAGGAATCTCTGTGAAGGACTGCAGGTTTCTACTGGTCTGGCTCACCTTGATACGTACAGCGCAGGCCTCGTTGTGTTCACCGCCAAAACGGACATGGATCTTCATCGGCTAGAAAATGCTCCTCGTACAACTGCATGGGGAGGACTCGTCGAGGCCTCAGTCAGCCGGAGACCAGACGAATGAGAAGACCGGGCTGCTACAGATGGGATGGATTCATTGGAGGGCAGCGAACATGGAGGGCACGTCTAGGCTCGAGCATGGAGACTGGAGATGGATGGAGGCTCCGCTCGTTTGCCCTAGCATCCCCGACCTCGATTGTTTCGATCTCGTCCTCAAGGCTCAAGGCTCAAGCCCCTTTCACAATGCATATGCACGTCTCCACGGGCCTTGGGCTAGACGAGCTGGAGTGTAGCAGCAAGTTAGCAACAACTCGGGGCCAAACGACCAAAGCATGTACACCCCGTGGCCAAGCCTGCCCGCATCGCGTTGCATCGCGTTACGACAAAGTTCACTTGGCTAGCGCATCTTGTTGAAGGTTAAGCGCAGTTAAACTGCATGTTGGACGCGGACCAGGGCATAATAGAGCCTTTTTGGTGCTCTTCTCAGCAACTACTGCGCACTCATTTACGCCTCAAGCAACGCGATAATGAGCCCCACTGAGGGACGGAATGACATCACCGCGCAGGTAGCTCGAATTTGGCCATTTTCCCATCAATTCCTCCATGTTTTTTCCCCATCCGCCAACCAAATGCCACATACCTCTGGTGTTGGCAAAGGAACGACTGTGGGCTTGTCACCCTTTATCCTTGCATGCATCATGGAACGGCGCAAGGTCGTCTACCGCACCCTCAATGCAGCACGTTCATCCTCTCTGGCATCCTCACGTCCCAACTTTCCTTACGTTTTCTGCTTTGCTTGGATCAGCTCGGCGCAGTGAATGTGGGGACGACGGGCTTCAGACTCCGCTCTCGGTAGCATATTTCCCATTTCCCCCATGTCGATGTACCGATGCGGCCAGGCTTTTGACGATGGTCCTTGGGGGCTGGAATGTTCTGTTTGGTGGCACCTTTCTCTGTTGATTTTTTTTTTGTTCACACACACACACACCCACACACACACACACACACACACGCTTCGGACGGATGTATCATGTCGCCTCCCGATCCTCCCCCCTGTTCAAGTGAACCGATGGGGCACGCTGACCGAAGCATCGGATTCTGTAGCCATTATCGGCCATTGTGGTGGCTGTCTCGAACAGTCGGAAACGGTTTTATCTGTCCACTTTGTTTCTAACCTTTTCGAATGCCGGCTTTGGGAGGGCTGAATGCCAACAGGTTACGAACCAAGAACTGCCATTCCACTGGACTCGTTCCGGGTTCGTTGGAGAAATCTTTCTCCTGGCGATCATCAGAGGCTCTGCTAGACTCTGAGACCTGGTTGGAGCCTCCAAGTGGCTGTCTGCCACATTGTCCACGGCCATTTGTCAGATTGCACAGCCGGCCGCCTTCCGTCTTCCGTGCGAGGGTGTGGGAGCGTGGCAATACAGCCAGCCCATCCCGCAACTTCGAAAAAAGCTCAAGAGTCAGAGAGGAAGGGGGGGTAAAGGAAACAACCAGTCATACACTGGTCGAATCTGGCCCTGCCCCTCGTTCGCGCTAGAACGTCCCAAGTGGGCATAGTACGGAAAAGCCAGATGCCTTTGCCCTTTGGGGGCCTGTGAGACGCCGTCATCGTATGTGGTGTCCATTGGCGACTGGCAGTCTGCGGTGCGCCCGTTGACGCCGTCCGAGTCGGCGTCTCGGCCGCTTGCCATTGTGCAGTAGCATCCCGGAAGCGGCTTTGAGAATCCCAACGAGAGCGGAGTCCTCTTGCTCAAGGGCTGGCCGGCCTTGGCTAGGGTTCTTCCTGCTCGGCCATGATCCATGGCCCCCTCGTTTTGGTATGGTTTCTCTTCCGTGTAAGCCCTTTGCTCATGCAGGTTGGCGCGCCCTGACGCCCCGTATTTGGCGGAGGACTCGGGGGAGGGACGGGGGTGGCGGGGAGGGGTGTGAAGAAAAAGCTATCTACCTTTCGGAATTCAGGCCGTCATCGTGAAGAGGATGGTTTGGCTGGCCGGTTGGCTTTGCGCCTTTTTTTTGTTTCCTTTGCCGTTACCGGGTCGGTCGAGAGTTCGGCAGTATCGCGTGTGGGCATTCGTTGCATTGACTTCTATTAAAGCTGGACACCTCCCGTTGAAACTTGGGCGTGACAACTCTAATTCCCAACCATCTAACTTTTTTTTTTTTGCGTATCTGATCGAGAATACAAGTATCTCTTCTAGTGCCAGTATATTCCTACAAGTTGTGGTACAACCAAAGTACACACCATCTTCCAATCGTCACCATGCCTATCGCCATCTCCCCCTCAACAGTCAAGGCCGCTGCCGAGTCTGGCCTGCCTGCTTCGCAGAACAAGAAGCGCAAGATCATCTGCTTCTCAGGTAAGACCACTTTCACTGACTTCTGAATCTCCCCACTCACTAACAACAAAACCCCCAGACTTTGACGGAACAATCTTTATGCAGGATACCGGTCACATCCTCTTCGACGCCCACGGCTGCGGCTCACAGCAGCGCGAGATCCTCGACGAGCAAATCAAGTCCGGCGAGCGGTCCTTCCGCGATGTATCCGAGGAGATGTGGGGCTCCCTCAATGTCCCCTTCGACGACGGCTTCGAGGTGATGGAGAAGAAGCTCGAGATCGACCCGGCCTTCCAGGAGTTCCACAAGTACTGCATCGCCAATGAAATCCCCTTCAACGTCATCTCCGCCGGCCTGAAGCCCATCCTCCGCCGCGTCCTCGACACCTTCCTGGGCGAGGACGCCTCAGCGCACATTGACATCGTCGCCAACGAGGCCGAGATCACCGACGACGGGTCCGCGTGGAAGCCCATCTGGCGCCACGATAACGAGCTCGGCCACGACAAGGCGCTCTCCATGGGCGAGGCCCGCGAGCAGGCCGAGATGGCGTGCGAGGACGGCACCATCCCCCTAATCGTCTTCATCGGCGACGGTGTCTCTGACCTGCCCGCCGCGCGCCAGGCTGACGTCTTGTTCGCGCGCCGCGGCCTGCGTTTGGAGGAGTACTGCGTTGAGAACTCCATCGGCTACATCCCCTTTGACACCTTCGCCGACATCCAGACCGAGATCCAGCGCATCCGCGACGAGGACGATAAAAAGACGGGCGGAAAGGGTATGCCCGCCGCCTTCAACCCGCGCGCCAACATGTGGAGACGCATGTCGAGCAAGACGGCGATCCCCAAGCTCGTCGCCATTACGCCTGCCGAGGAGAAGATGTTCTTGTGGCCCGAGGTGTTCAGCGTTGCTACGCCCAGCATCGAGAAGGCCAACATTGCTCCCGTCTTCGCTTAGGCGCCGTGGCAGGGGGTTGGCCCCCCCTCCTAATTTGTTTATAATCAAGTCGTCTTGTGTTTGATGACGACCCGGTGCATAGCGTGCGAAATTTGATTTGAGAGAACAATGGTTCGGATACTCTGGCGTTGGCTTGGGACACAGGTTTAAGTTGGATTAGAGATCTGGCGGTGTGAAGAGAAGTTGATAAATCAACTTCCATATCATTAGATATAGACACAGATACATCTCAAGGATAACATGATTTGCTATTTCAAATGACTGTTCGCATTACGAATAATTGCTATGATATTGGGTGTACTTGATTCCAAGAAGTTGCTTATGATCATAAAACAATCCATCAGTTATTAAATAGGTATCATCTAGCAACACGGGTTCCAGTGAAAGGGGCGCCGTAGCGGACGGAAACACTAGTTAAACAGAGCATCTTCGTCTTTGAGAGGAACGTCGAGAAACAAGTTCCCACACACAGAGGGAAATAGATTTACAGATTAACATGGAGACATGTCGAAATTGTGATCCGAAGATATCTTTCGATTCAACTCAATTCAAGCCTCATCCAGAGGCTTTCTTCTGTATTTCTCGTGTCCCTGGTTCCCCTGACCAGCCAAAGCA